AGGACTTGACGTTCCCCTCGACCACATCATCTCCAGATTCATACTGCACACATTAATGACTGACATTAATACATTATGCAGGGCTCTACGACTGGTCTACCCGCGCTCTACACCCACCTGAAATGACCATCGTGCCCCTACTTACGAACCGCCATCGATGCATCTGGACCGTCCTTGTATTTTTCCCACTCGTGTTCAGCCCGGGGGGAGCACCGGAGCAGAAACGCACTCACGCAAGTCCGCAACCAAGATTTTGCTTTGACAGTTTGCACGGCCCTTTCCCCCAACCAGTCACCAGTGGGATGCCACGTCCAGCCACTTGGCCAAGGAAGAAATACAGTGACAAAAAGCCGTGCTGGGTTTGCGCTCTCTGAAACACACTTGAGCAGAGCCGTGTCGATCGTCAATTCCGTCATGAAACACAACGGCACCACGGGTCTTTCTTTTTTTTTCCTCCAACAGTTTGGCACCATGTTCTCGTGCACCAACGCTTGAATTTGACTCGTGGCACCCGATTCCAGGCGACGTATGCTAAAGAGATCGTACTAGCATCGTTGGTCCACACGGCTCCATCCGTCTCTGAATTGGGTTCTGAATTTCTTTCTAAATACTACCACCACAGTGCTGCTATGCTGACAACGGAGTGATATCCTAGCATGATTTTCTTGCCGATCAGCCTGGTCAACGGCACACGTTGCTTCCCCCCCTCTCTCTCTCTGCAGAATCTTATACTACTACTACTAGTAATATATCCAGCCTAATACTAATACTAGTAATCAATCGTGGCGTAGGCCGTGTGGGGATGATTTGTGTTTGACTGGAGGCGCACGCAGGGCTTGAATTCAACTCAACAGCCAGCCGCTGGCTCAGCTTATTCCTTGCTCTCGCAAAGAGAGAGCTAGGGAGTCGTTGTCTCGTCGCCATGATGACTCAAGCGTGCGTACGTGCCGAGGCCATCTGGCATATATTCGTGAGAAACGAGCGAGCGGGATATTGATTTTTCTTTTCCTATAGAGGAATAAGCCAAGATACGTTCAGCTGCCACTATTTATATTTGGACATGCGAACAGGGTAGGCGTGTGCGTGGCATGTGGTGGACACGTACGCGTTCACCACCTACTTGGAGCTACGTCGCCCCGAACGTTACTTGGAAGTCAAACCACCTGGCCCGGGTCAATTCCTTCCTTCATCGTCACACCGCGCTGTTTTCCTTGGATCCGTTCAGCCGTTTTGCAGGCGCCGACGGCCGATCTGTTCCGGTCCATGGGCACGCCACGCCACGCCGCCGTCGCGGTCAAACCACGGAACGGTCGTCCCAGCAAGAAGCGTGAAACTACCCTAGCCGCCACCGCCACCAGGCGACTAGGGCGAGGCACTTTTTTCTCCGATCTTCACCGGCCGGTGCGCTGGCCCCCTCTCCCTTCGACTGCTGCTCCGGCGGCGGGAGGGAGGGGGGACCCCGTTCCTCCGCTCTGTAGTTACGTTTTGGATTTGTAGGTCGTGGTGCGTCGTTGGGGTGGTGGGAGCGGCGCCCGGATGAATAAATCTGCCTCAACCCCACTCCCACACCGACGGTGTCCTTCATGGCGGCGTCTCGGAGATGATGGCATCGTGTCTCTGTCGATCCCTCAGATCGACATCGTTAGGGTTCATGGATGGTGTTGACGAGGCGGCGGCGGCAACTCCATCAGGTGTGTCTCTCCTTCTGCTCTGTCCCCGTTGTTGTGGCGTTGTCTCCGACGTCATGGTGGAGCAGGGAGGTTTGTCGTTCAGGAGTACGCGCAGGCGGTTGTCTACGCAAGTGACAGCTGGAAGATGGAGTATCTTGTGTTGGGTCTGTGGTCGAAGGCGGGCAGTTCTGGTTTCCTTCTCCGACGTCGTCGTCATGCGAGGGTGTCAGTTCTGAAGTTCGATGGCGTGTCCGGGGACATGTTGCCCCGGTATGATTCTTTCAACGGCTATGGTTTTGCTTTTGGCAAACTACTTTGGAGGTCCGTAAAGCTGCTGATCAGCGATGAAGCCGCGTCGAGCTTGGGCGAAGAGGTGATCTGTCTTTTTACCCTTTGGTGGCCGCTTTGGTGGTGTCGAAGGAAAGGGACAGGCGCTGTTATTTTGCATAGGATTTTCCTATCTTTTCAGTCATGTATGGTCGGTGCTTACGTGTCTTGTAACTTGATCTTTATTCTATATAAATGAGACACGTATTACCATGCAAAAAAAGCAAGAAGCGTGAAACAGAGTGTTCGTTCCAAAAGAGGGGCGATATCACGTAAAAAAGGAGACGAAAATTTCCTCGCATTTTTTTTAAAATGCCCTCCTGTTCTGTCCTTCTGTGAAGTGTGATACTCGCACCGTGAGTTATTTACCGAAAACCATCACATTTGGGGCTAGGGTAACAACTTAATACCACATTTGAACTAGGGCACAAAAAACCATCAGTTCTGTGCCTAATGCATAACGCGGAACACTAATGTTCGAATTTAGTCGAGAAAACAGCAAAACCGACAGGTGGGGCCTGCCTGTCGGGATGATGTGGCAAAAAAAATTCCACGTGGGCAGGTTGACTTGTCTCTTTCTCCTCTCTTCTCGCCGTTCCCGTTGGCCATGGTTGACCTCGGTTGCGCGTAGGCACCCACGCACGCCTACCATCTCCCCTGGTCATGGCACGCACGCGCACTTGCAGCCGCCCCTGGCCGTGGTACGCACGTAGGCCCGCAGCCGCCCTGGCCGCCACTGCAGGAAAGACCAGGAGAACTCATGCAGGCTGCAACCGCCGCTAGCCGTGATGATTCCGACAACCATTCAACGCTAGGCTACGTTTTATCTGATGCTGGTGACCGTGCATCGCCCGGTGGTGGTGGAAAGTGCTAGGTTGGCCAGCAGAGTTGACGACGGCGAGCTGGGCGGCGGCGGAGCTCCGGCTTGCGTGAGCGCCGGGTTACAGCTTGCAACCGAGCGACCTAATTGTCCAGGTGGCCTCCTGCGAGCTCTAGCATCTCGGTACGGTGCTCACACGCGACCAATTCGTGCTCGAACGACGGCGGTGGAGACTAGAAAGGCACGGCAGCGGGAGCTCTCGGGCATGGCGGACGAACTAGTTATGGAACGAATTGACAATGGGGGAAAAGGGTAGACAGAAAGGGGATCATGGTGATTCAGATGAGCAGGTCGGCGAGGCCGGGGGTGCTCTGAAGGTGGCGAATTCGCCGCTGGCGGCCGGCGGCTCCGAGGTTGAAGATGCGATGGATTCTGTCGTTCTGCGGCGTCTCGGCTCTTGGTCGGCGTTGAGGATGACCAGCGCGAGGAGGCAAAGCTCTGGGAGATTATTTGTCGGCAAAACTACGGCGGTGGCCACGCTAGCGCGGAGCAGCGTCGACGGCTAGCTCTCGAACAACAGCGGGGAGAGGGCTGGAGGACGGGAGCGAGCTCCAGACGAAGAGGAAAAGGGAGAGGAGGATCTGGACGTCGGGTAGGGCCTCTGTTGCCATGGCCATGGAGCTCTCGACTTGCATCGGTAGAGATGGCTCGCCGCGCACAAGCCGCTCGACACAAAGCTCCATAGAAATAGAGATGAGATGAAGATGACCATGTTGTCAATGACAGGCTGGGCCCGCAGCTCATCTGCCACCTCAGCTAGTCAAAGTTTTTTTGTGTGCTTGGTATTTGCCACGTCATCCCGACAGACATGCCCCACCTGTCGGTTTCACCGTTTTCTCGATTAAATTCGAGTATCAGTGCTCCGCGTTACGCATTAGGCGCAAAACCGGTGGTTTTTGTAACCTGATCCAAATGTGGTACCAAGTTGTTACCCTATCCCAAGTGTGATGGTTTTCGGTAAATAACTCTCGCACTGTCGCACCTCACACGTCGCTGATCCGAATGAGCTGCCGCTTTGGCTGGCCGCCGGCCGGCCGTCGTTTCCTTCACCGAACGTGCCCCTGACACATCACCGGCCGGCCGGTGCCGATCCTCTCCGTCGCTGCTAGTATCTGCTAGGTCACGTCGCCTTCAGCATTTCACGTTCGCTACGAGGTCGCGCGAGCGCACCCACGCAGAGGCACGCTTGTAGTGTACCCGATAAAATAAACGTAAGTGCATAACGCATCTGTTTACTACTTCCACCGTTCCTAAATATTTTTCTTTTTAAATATTTCAACAAATGACTACATACGGAGCAAAATGAGTGAATTTACACTTTAAAATATGTCTACATACATTCGTATGTGGTAGTCCATTTGAAATGTCTAGAAAGACAAATATTTAGGAACGGAGGGAGTAGTAGTAAGGGATAGTACAGTCATTTGCAGCCACAGCCACAGCCACTGTAAAATAGTATACGGAGAGTATGTTTCAACGGCAACAGTGATCCCTCCGGTGCTTCCTGCTGACACCGACTGCTCATGCCGCAGTAGCCGCGGCCATTCAACTTCAAGGCACCGAGTTTGCTCCATCAAAAGGAGACGTGACGGCGTATGGAAAAGGAACGAGCCGTGCCAGGAAACGCAGACTTCTGCTATACACATTGTAGTTTTTCCCATTGTGACAGAGACGGTAGACGACATACGGTCCTTTGGAGATCGCATGCCCCGCCTTGGTGATGCTCCGCACTAGTAGTAGTAATCTTTCTTCTTCTTTCGTGGTGTTTTGTCAGCCCTGTTTGCCGACCAAACGCGCAGCATTTCCCGTGCCGTCGTGTCAAATGAAGGCAGCAGCACCACATCTGATGATCCCTCAACAACCAACCACCGGGACACGAATTTCGCCGGAACGGAGGCCCCTGTCCGCAAAAACGGCGGTACCACCACAAGTATAAATTTTCGTATTCCTTTCCAGCCGTTTCTCTCTGCCGCGCCCCCTCT